GGATGTGGGGATGTGGGGCAGTGGGGATGTGGGGATGTGGGGCAGTGGGGATGTGGGGCCTCTGAACCCCCCCGTTGGGGATTTCTGCAGTGGGGGAGGATCAGTGGGGCTGGGAAGTCTCCAAAACTCTTTCCTGGGCACCTTTCAGAGCCGGGAAAGGCTCCATGGGCGGGTCTGAGGCTCCCAAACCCCTCCTGTGGGGATTTTCCAGAGCTGGGAAAGAGGGCTCTGCACCCTCGGGGACCCTGGGGACAGCGGGGACCCAGAAATGCCACCCGTGGGGCCCCTCCTGACCTTGACCCCGTGGCCGACGCCGTCCAGGGCGCTGAAGCTCAGGGGTCTCCGGTGATAGGGCTCCAGCACGGGGGGGCTCGGGGGGGCCGCGATCTTGGGGCAGCTCGGGAGTCTCTTGCTGACGGTCAGCGCGCCGATCTCGCGCCGTGACACCTTCTCCTTGTGGATGTCCACCCTCTGCCGAGGCCACGCCGTCCCCAAAGTGCCACCACGGGCCACCCGCAGCCCCCCGGGTCCCCCCCAGCGCCGTGTCCCTGCTCTGGGGGGCACAGGTGACCGGCGGCTCCCCCCAGCAGTGTCCCCAAGTGTCCCCAAGTGTCCCCAAGTATCCCCAAGCTCCAGCCTGCAGCGGGGGAGGCTCGGGAACGCTCTGAGCTCCCGCTCGCAGATTTTGAGGCAGTTTAGGATTTCTGGGCGTGATGATAAAACACCCCCGAGCTCCCCGCCGGGCCGGGGTGCGGTTCTGCATTCCCAGAGCTCGGGGAGGGTCTCCATCCCCCCGGAGCCCTTTCCCCAGAGCCCACCCCCCCGGGCACGGTCCCACCTGTGCCACGCAGGTGATGTCGGCCTCCAGCCGGCGCAGCCGGGCCGCCTGCAGCTCCAGCAGGCGCAAGAAGGCGGTGGCCAGGCTGCTGAGCTGGGAGGTGACACTGGCCAGGGCCTGCGTGCTCAGAGCCATCGTCTCCTCCAGCGCCTTCCTCTTGTCGCCGGCCTGGGTGGGGGGGACAGAGGCGGCGGTGGCGCCGGGGCTGTTTCCTTCTGCTTTCCAAATGCCTCGAGCTTCCCCCGGCCCCGGGCGGGAGCAGCCGGGGGTTCACGGGGTTCCGGAAGGTTCCGGGGGTCACCGGGCCCCTGCGGCGACCCAGGAGGCGCTGCTGGGCACCCGCAGGTTCCTCCAGAGGCACCAAACCCCTGGAGAACCCTCCCTCCATCCCAAACGCACCAGCAGAGCTGCTGGGGAGCAAGAGGAGAACCCAAGGCAGGGGGAAATGCAGCTGGGGAGCCCAAGGCACGGGGAAATGCAGCTGGGGAGCCCAAGGCACGGGGAAATGCAGCTGGGGAGCCCAAGGCACGGGGAAATGCAGCTGGGGAGCCCAAGGCACGCTTCCTCTGGGTTCCTCATGGTTCCCGTCCCGGGAAAGCGCAGCAGAGGAGCCCAAGGCACCGGGAGAAGGCAGCAGAGGGCGGCAGGGGAAGCTGGGCCGGGAGCCAGCAGTGATGCTCGGGCTCCCAGAGCAAAAGCTCCAGTGGCCACCCCCGGGGAGCGCCCAGCCCGGCCAGCATCGCCCCCAGCGGGGCCAGCATCACCTCCAGCCCGGCCAGCATCGCCCCCAGCGGGGCCAGCATCATCTCCAGCCCGGCCAGCATCGCCCCCAGCGGGGCCAGCATCACCTCCAGCCCGGCCAGCATCGCCCCCGGCCGGGATCGCCCCCAGCCCTGCCGGGATCGCCCC